CTTCGTCATATGCTTCTTTATTACTTTTACTTAATGCAACAACATGACGTCTTGAAGTCATTAATTCAAACCATCGATTGATGAGAGAAACAAACCAAGCAGTCGTTACATATGAAGGATCTCCTTTTGTAAATGCCAAAAGTTGAAGCCCAGAAGCTGTTCGGTTGCAGAAGATAGATTTGGCAGTTGCAACTTTCATTCCATTAAAGTGGCTTTTGCCCAAATTCTCTTTTTTCAGTCGAAAAGCAACTTTGAGTTCTAAAGTTGCTTCAGAATTGAGCAATTCCTCAAAATGAGTAAATTTTACTTCATTTGAAGGCAGATTGTTATATTCTACAATGTCTTGTGGAAGATAAACAATTTTATTATTAATAATCATTGATCTAATCGCTTTGAATAAATGAGGGACATCTGCCATTATGTATAACCGACAAGAAGGTCTAATAGGATGAGGTATACTACATTTTACTTCAAATCGGCTTGCCGTGATACCAAATGTCTTCCACATGCTCCTATTATCAGATCCCATATCACTTACAATACAATGCACACGCAGCCCAATCTTTTCAGAATGTTCTATAATATTTCTTATTATATTTGAATAAGCTTGTCCTGTAGCACCATCCTTTGCATCATTAGCTTTAGAACTAGTTAAGTGGAAACAGACACTCTGTTTCCATTTAAAAGTTACTCCACGCAGAACAAAAAGCAAAGCTTTATTAGCAATACCTGAATGAGAACTAAGAGTAGCTCTACCAATAAATTCTTTTATACTGGGATCGAACATTACTCTTGGCTCAATTGACATTTCATCGAATGCTATAACACAATCTTTCCATTCTTCTCGATGATGCGGAATCTCATTAGCAAGGTAATTGAACACTTCTTCAAAAATGCCAGGTCGGAATTCGATATGTTCTATTCTACGTTGAAGCGTCCGAAGACTCGGTATGGAAAAGTGCTTTCTTACTTCATTGTATCCAGATGAACCACATTTCACTTTTAAAATTAATGCTTGCCTCACAGCTTCAGGTCTCCATAATTTTTTATTTACATTTGTATCACATGCCTTTGTCATATTTTTAGAAAAAATATTCGATAATCCTCTTACATTTTTTCTTTTAACATTTTTAGAAATACTAAGTTCTTTATGCATTCGTTTATTGCTGTTTTGTAGCACTTTATTTTGTCGAAACATTCTGTCAGCAATTTTTTTTACTTTAGACAATTCTTCCTTTAATTGCTTATTTTCTTTATGCAAAGATTCAATCTTGCTGTCAATGGTTTTCTCTTCTATAGTTTGAGTAGCTACAGTATTTTTAAGTTCTTCTTCCAACTCTAAAAGGGATCTCTGAGTATTATTTTCATGTAAAATGCAGGAATCCGAAGATTGTTCTTCATAATTATTGCATTGAATATGCAAATCATTAAATATTGTTTCTGGCTTACTACC